ACACAAATATGTGATAGTTAGTTTTAAAAAAATCAAATAAAAAGAAAAAGAATCACAAGTAAGTCTATGAAGTCTTACTTGTGATTATATTTTTTCTTCAGAAACCTTTATTCCAACTGTTAATTAATACAAAAATGGAAAAAAAAAGTGTTTTATTGTAAATACCTATCCTGCCTTGCAATTGAAAAATCAACATAAACGACAAAAAATTCAAAATTGAGATTTTTCTGTATTTGGCATGAATAACTACTAGTATGGAAATGTATTTGGCATCTTTGCAAAAAAAAAAAAATTTGTAGCATTTTTCTGAAATTCTATTTTAGCGTTTATAGCATTATCGATAAAAAGAAAATAGTTGTCAAGCGTCTTTTCTCAGAATCAATCATGAAACACATTGTTTCTTGAATTGCACGGCAGTATCACAGTAACGTTATTTTATTGTTGGCGTAGTTCGTGAACTTTTCAGAATCATTTTCAACTTACAAGAAAATAAACAGAAAATTTAACATATTTCAGGGAAGTTTTGATTTTCAAAGTAAACACATTATTCAGCATCTATTATATCATAGTACAATGTAAGTTGTTTTATCAAACAAATTCAAATAGAATTTTCTTAAACCCGAATTATTTCATGCTGACTATCATGCATTACATATTTCTTAGCATTTTAATTTTCTTTGGTTCCTAAATATTTATTTTATCCTTTAATCCTGTTCTCAATAAAAAGCAGTTTTCAAGGAAGATACAGGTACCGTAAACCGGGGCGAGTCTACCCATTTTAGTTTTATTTAATTTTCACTATTTTAAATTGCAAATAATTTAAATTGCATTATCGATAAAAAGAAAATAGTTGTCAAGCGTCTTTTCTCAGAATCAATCATGAAACACATTGTTTCTTGAATTGCACGGCAGTATCACAGTAACATTATTTTATTGTTGGCGTAGTTCGTGAACTTTTCAGAATCATTTTCAACTTACAAGAAAATAAACAGAAAATTTAACATATTTCAGGGAAGTTTTGATTTTCAAAGTAAACACATTATTCAGCATCTATTATATCATAGTACAATGTAAGTTGTTTTATCAAACAAATTCAAATAGAATTTTCTTAAACCCGAATTATTTCATGCTGACTATCATGCATTACATATTTCTTAGCATTTTAATTTTCTTTGGTTCCTAAATATTTATTTTATCCTTTAATCCTGTTCTCAATAAAAAGCAGTTTTCAAGGAAGATACAGGTACCGTAAACCGGGGCGAGTCTACCCATTTTAGTTTTATTTAATTTTCACTATTTTAAATTGCAAATAATTTAAATTGCATTATCGATAAAAAGAAAATAGTTGTCAAGCGTCTTTTCTCAGAATCAATCATGAAACACATTGTTTCTTGAATTGCACGGCAGTATCACAGTAACATTATTTTATTGTTGGCGTAGTTCGTGAACTTTTCAGAATCATTTTCAACTTACAAGAAAATAAACAGAAAATTTAACATATTTCAGGGAAGTTTTGATTTTCAAAGTAAACACATTATTCAGCATCTATTATATCATAGTACAATGTAAGTTGTTTTATCAAACAAATTCAAATAGAATTTTCTTAAACCCGAATTATTTCATGCTGACTATCATGCATTACATATTTCTTAGCATTTTAATTTTCTTTGGTTCCTAAATATTTATTTTATCCTTTAATCCTGTTCTCAATAAAAAGCAGTTTTCAAGGAAGATACAGGTACCGTAAACCGGGGCGAGTCTACCCATTTTAGTTTTATTTAATTTTCACTATTTTAAATTGCAAATAATTTAAATTGCATTATCGATAAAAAGAAAATAGTTGTCAAGCGTCTTTTCTCAGAATCAATCATGAAACACATTGTTTCTTGAATTGCACGGCAGTATCACAGTAACATTATTTTATTGTTGGCGTAGTTCGTGAACTTTTCAGAATCATTTTCAACTTACAAGAAAATAAACAGAAAATTTAACATATTTCAGGGAAGTTTTGATTTTCAAAGTAAACACATTATTCAGCATCTATTATATCATAGTACAATGTAAGTTGTTTTATCAAACAAATTCAAATAGAATTTTCTTAAACCCGAATTATTTCATGCTGACTATCATGCATTACATATTTCTTAGCATTTTAATTTTCTTTGGTTCCTAAATATTTATTTTATCCTTTAATCCTGTTCTCAATAAAAAGCAGTTTTCAAGGAAGATACAGGTACCGTAAACCGGGGCGAGTCTACCCATTTTAGTTTTATTTAATTTTCACTATTTTAAATTGCAAATAATTTAAATTGCATTATCGATAAAAAGAAAATAGTTGTCAAGCGTCTTTTCTCAGAATCAATCATGAAACACATTGTTTCTTGAATTGCACGGCAGTATCACAGTAACATTATTTTATTGTTGGCGTAGTTCGTGAACTTTTCAGAATCATTTTCAACTTACAAGAAAATAAACAGAAAATTTAACATATTTCAGGGAAGTTTTGATTTTCAAAGTAAACACATTATTCAGCATCTATTATATCATAGTACAATGTAAGTTGTTTTATCAAACAAATTCAAATAGAATTTTCTTAAACCCGAATTATTTCATGCTGACTATCATGCATTACATATTTCTTAGCATTTTAATTTTCTTTGGTTCCTAAATATTTATTTTATCCTTTAATCCTGTTCTCAATAAAAAGCAGTTTTCAAGGAAGATACAGGTACCGTAAACCGGGGCGAGTCTACCCATTTTAGTTTTATTTAATTTTCACTATTTTAAATTGCAAATAATTTAAATTGCATTATCGATAAAAAGAAAATAGTTGTCAAGCGTCTTTTCTCAGAATCAATCATGAAACACATTGTTTCTTGAATTGCACGGCAGTATCACAGTAACATTATTTTATTGTTGGCGTAGTTCGTGAACTTTTCAGAATCATTTTCAACTTACAAGAAAATAAACAGAAAATTTAACATATTTCAGGGAAGTTTTGATTTTCAAAGTAAACACATTATTCAGCATCTANGTTTTCTCTACATTTTGAATATATATATATATATATATATGTCAGTTTTGGTTACCTGTGATCTTTTGAATCAAATTGAAAAAGCAATAATGTAAATTGAATGAAAGGCTTAAACCAAAATTTTATAACATTCATTTATTAAGTATTTGTAAGAACCTAAAAATTTGTCAATAACATGACTAGTTAATGTAATTAAATACATAGTTATTCTATTGTTTGATAAAAGAGTAATTTTTTTTAAAAGGGAAAACATAATGTAAAATGAACTTTTTTTTGACTTTTAAAAAACTTAGTTTTTCCTTCAAATGTCCATTTTTGCCATTTCTCAGAATTATCAACTGTATGAAAAAGTATATAACGAAGTTTTTTTCTCTTCATTTGAATATGGATATAGTATTGTATATCATATCATGTATATTCATTTGCCAGTCAATATTCATAGCATTGCTTGTTTATCAATGTCAAATTGATTCACAATTTTTATTTATCTTGTAAGGCACAAGGTTCTGTGCAATAAAAAGATCTACTCTGTAGTAAAGACCAGGTTTTGTTTGATTGTAATTACTTTATTTTAAATTTTTGTTAATTAAATCAAGGTTAAAAAAAGAAATTTCAAAAACAAGTTAAAGCTTTAATTTCAAATATATCAGTGTTTTCACTACCGCGCGAGAATCTCACATATCTTTTTCTTTTCTCGCATTAAAAAATTATTACCGCGAGAAATTCGCGCATTCTATAAATCAATTTCAAAATTCACCAATTTCTCGCATTTTGGAAAAAGCTTCGAATTACGCCATTTAGAATAAAATCCGTTTCACTTTTCTTCCTGGATCTTTCATTATTTTCAACATCTGCCTCGTTATTTAGCTTCCCTAATTACCAGTACTGTTCAAAACCTTTTCGAACAACAGAACACAACCACGGAACCCCTTTCAGAACACATTTCTCTGCAACCACGTGTTTACCATAGGTAAGGTTTCTTCATGTAAGACGTTCAAATTTTTTATGTGCTAATGTAAGATGGACAAATACCTTGTAAAGGCAAAATCTTCTATGATGATGCACCAAAATATTCAATGCTTTAAAAAATAGAAGACGGTAAAAATGTATTACTACAATTAAAGAAATGATTTTTTTTCAAGAGTTTTGTGTTTTTTTAGTTTTTAGAAATCTCACCCTGTTTTTGAGAAAGGGTGAGAAATTCTCACCCATTTTTTTTTCTATGATGAAAACACTGTATATATATATTATTTACTATATTCAGAGTTAGTATATATCAACATATATGTTTTAACGTATATATAACATTTGCTATCAATTTATAATCCCTCTTCTCTACAATTTAAAAGTATAGTGATCATGGTTTTAAATTGCAGTTTAATAAAATATAGCTTGCATACTGAAGTTAATAACTGTCGGGCACAATATCTTTAAATCTTGCATTGTTATGATTAGAAAGGATCAATTTTGAAAAAGAGTCTTACACTGCTAAGTTATATATATTTTTAATTTATAGTTGTTAAATTATTATCCTTAAATTTTCTTATTATGAAAATATTATTCTCAATGTTGTACTTGCAATGTGCAAGATGGTCAGATGAGCTTGTATGTGAGTGTCCAGTAGTACTCTAAAAGTTCATAATGAACATTTACACATAAAGAACTTTAACTAGCCTTAATGTGCCTTACAAGTCTGTCTTGATCTTCAGCCAAATCCATTTTTCAAATAAAGCTACTTGGCAAAATTCTTCAATTTTAAATCTCTAATTAATAAAATTATTCTTCACAAATTTATAATTCTAGCTTAAATAATAAAATAATTGAATCCATTTGTTAATTTTCAATTATTTTCTTTAAACAAAATTAAATATTAAGTATATAAAAGTTTGATTTGCACCAGTTTAAGTGTACCAATTAATTAGTTTAAGTTGTATTATGTTACATTAAAAATAAATAAAAACTAAGATTTCAGTAAATAAAACTTTATTTGCAAAAAAACATTTGTACGACATAGCCCTAATAACATGTATTCTTTCAGATGTCATGTGACAACTTTATTGTCCAGAACTTGATAGCTCTTATAAATATTACATAAACTTTCAATATAATATATAATATCCTGATATATTAAAATAACAGAACTGTTAACATAAAGTGCACACTATCATTCACATTGAAATACCACCACAAAAATCAAATAATTTGCTACTTTAATTAGGGTCAAGAATAATTATTTTACATTTCAATTCATTTTCCTCAAATATTTTAACCATAAAGGTCACTAAAAGGAACACTTATTTATTTTTACATTAAATCTTTAATGTAAAACTAGAGCAAGTCGACAGAAACAAAATCAGACGTGTGAAACAATATGTGAACAGGATTGAATTAAAGTATTATTTATAGACAGATTTATTTATTTCGGCTATACAGCTAAATACTAATACTAATTCTGTAGTTGTATAGAATTTTATAACACAATACTTTGCCACCAAACATATAAATGTATTTCTGCAATAAGTTTTAAAAAACAGTGTAGTTCATGATTATTGAAAAACAAAATCACATGTAGAAATATACAAGTATCAAAACTGCTTCATGATTCATTACTTTTTCTTTGGAGCAGGTTTTCCATCCATTGATTGACCTCTTTCTTTACCTCTCAACTTTAATCCTATTAGAAATTAAAATAAAAGAATACAATTTTCAAAATAATACTTGGCAATTAAATTCAAAATAAAAATTACAGCGGTTTAGAAAAGAATGATATAATAAGAAATAATGATCTCTTATAAGTATAAAATTTTTTGCTTCATTAATCACATGCTACTAATGATAATAGTTAAATTCTAAATTAAAATAAAACCAATTTTAAATCTTGTAAAATTGTTAAGAAAATCTTAAAAAATTAAGAATTTAGTTAGCACTAACAAGAAAAATATTGTATATATTGAAATAATAAGTCTGTATGTCACTGTTTCAAGTACATATAAAGCAATAGGTATAAAAAAATTTCTACCTTGTTTTTGATAAGTAAAAATATATTTTAAAAAACAAAGACTTTATTTTAAAATACAGATTAGCCAGGTATTTCATAAAGTATGGTAATGAATGCAAATCTAGTCAAAATTGAAAAATCTCAGTCATCTAAAAAAAAATTACTTTGCCCCTGGCCTCAAAATTTTTAATATAAAATTTTGAATTCTACAAATTATGAAGCTATTTCACTGATCCCTGAATCTATTTTGTGGAGATTACTAAACAAAGAACATATAAGATGAAGATAAAAATAAGGTTAGTGAAAATAAACACATGAAAATTTTTTAAATACAGAACACCAAGGCTGTAATAATTTTTTTTTGACACAATTAAAATCAAGCATGCTTTTAATCACTACATTTATTAATAATTATGCAAAATTAAATTAAAAATATAATTGTCTGTTTGCGATTTCATAAAAGCAAAACACGGCTATGCTACTTTAGAGGGCAGTTATATATTACAAAAGATAACTCCCCTCTAAAAATTGGTCCCATTTTCAAGAAATTATGTAAATTATGTAGACATCTCAAGAAAGTATGTAGACAGGCGATGATAAAAATTCAATGTTTTAAACCTCATTTAGATTTCAAACAAGAAAAAAGTCAAATGAGTTTTAAAAAATATGCATGGAAAATACTCCCAAGAAAGGGTTGAAAGAAATATTTTAAAATAAATTATCTCTGCTAGTTTTGATGTACTTTTAGACAAATAAAAATTTACCACAAAAAAAGGGACTGTGAATAGTAATAAAATAAAATACTAATATTTATGGTTTCCAACATATTACAGAAAATGTTTCACAAGACATAACTTTTACTCAATTGATTTGTAAAAATAAAACTTTTGGCTTGTTGCTTTTACATAAATAAAGTTAGTTCATTTGATAGAATATTAGCATAATAAAAATTTTATTATAAACAAACATATCACTAACACATAATTATTATTTATAGCAAGGAATAAATTTTTAAAGTAAAAAGAAATTTAAAAAATGCATAGCAGTTGATTAGATACATACCAATGACTCTTTCTATTTTGGTCAGAATCATTTGATTAGGCACAGCACGCCCTGCTTCATAGTCATTTATAACTTGAGGTTTCTCATTGATTCTCTAAAAATCAAATACAAAGGCTTATTCACTAGATAACACTTAATAAATAGTGTCAGCAGTTTATAATTATGATAATGTCATCCAAAACATTAGTTAAGTAATAATTTATATTTTTTTGCTTAACTTGTTGAAATGATTTTTTTAAAAATTTAAATAATTAATTTTTTTTTAAATGAAAATAAAGTAATACAGATTATCCCTATATGAATTAAACAACTAAAGCACATTAGTAACATTTAAATAATGTTAAGATAATTGAGATTAAATAATTGTCAAACAATAAGATGATGTAAACTTTTTATTTATTGCATTTCATGCAATTGCACAAAAATGTTGTTTCATCAAATTCTAAATTAAAAAGTGCTTTTTAACTTCCTTAAAAAAATAAATAAATAAAACGGTTTCTACAATTAAAATTTTACACACAAAATTCAACAGAATTTAAACTAATTGTCCCTGCTGAACATAGTACAAAATTAAGCCAATATAAAAGATGGAATTCAGATAAATTCATATAAAACATTGAAAACTGAACTATATGGTGTGAAGAATTTACAATATTTACGTAGGTAACAGAGTTAGCATTAGTTTTCATATCAAAATATAATCTATAAACTTTGCTACATAGAATTATGATGCATATCTTGTTTATGCAGGATCAACAATTTAAATCATATAATTGAAGCATAAAAAATTATTAAAATAAAAAAGTAATGATTAAGAAAGTCTGTCTTCTTTTAGAGAGTGAAGAATACAGAGGGGAAAAGAATATAAATTTTCTGCATTAGTAATTTTGATCATTTTGACATCACACAAATTTCAAATTGGAGCAATCACTTTTCAGCATGTTTGTTTTACCTTCAGACTTTTTGTATAGAACTTACTGTGGAATCTAACTTGGACTAGTTTAAGACTATTATTAACAGATTGAATGACTTGAAATAATTTTGAACATATTTTATTGTAATGAAATACTCCAAGTCTTTACATAACTATCTTTATAGCACCAGATAGCACTCTTTCAAAATGTAACACATTCCAATGTAGCAGATTCATTAATGCTACAATAAATTCAATAGTTAGCTAAATGATGCATAGATAGAATAACGATTTCTTGCTGTTTTATTAAACACGCATAGAATAATGTGATAGATAATTTTCAAACTCATACCGAATAGTTTTAATCGAGAATTTTATTAGGCCAGAAACTTAGTGTAATGAAAATTCTGGAATATTAGTTAATTTAAAAACAAAAAGTGAAATAAAATGAAATCTTACAGTAGCAAGTTCCTTTTGAGTCAATCCCTTATTTTGCCTTCCTTGTTGTATTAATCGTCCCACTTCTAATCCAACTGTATCATGATGGAGCTGTTCAGTTTCTTTGTCAAGTTTTGAAGTATTCAAAGTTGTTTGCGAATGTTTGTTGGTAGCAGCATTGTCTAAAAATTTTGTAAAATTACATTACTAATTTTATAGAGACATATATTTATTTTTTTAATTATCAAAAATAATTCAGTTATGCATTCACAAAAGAGACATGACAATCAATAATAACCATAATAATAAAAAAATACTGAGCAACTTTATGAAATAGTATTTAATAACATACACTGAAGTTGTATAATATTAACAATAACTAAGCAAAATAATATGCAATGCAATATGTGAAATCAGTTTCGTGACGGTTCTTCTCTTAACAGAATCAAAAAAGTGTGTTAAGAACACTTTAGATATAATTTTACTTTATTATATATTTTTTAAAAACATTTTTGTTCATACATAAGTAATATAAACCCTTTTAACATAATTTTTAAAAATATGAACTTGTCAATTTAAAAATTAATAATTCTATTATTAAGATCATGAGCAGCAAGTTTCTGCCAAGGTAGAAAAAAATCACCCCAAAAGAAATTCAATCAAATATTAAATAAATTTTTTTAAACAGTTTATTTTTGTAATCTAGTTAACAAAAAAATAATAATAATAAATAAATATAGACCATTTAATAAATTATTTTTGCATAAATAAAAATAAATATAAAATTCTATTTGCCACTTTTTAATTGTCATTTCATGTGTATTTTCAATGCTTCCTGTTAATTTGAAGTTTTTATTTTATCTTAAATAACTTTAAAAAATATAATTCCATTATTGCTGACAAAAGAAGAATTTCAAAATAAAAATATGTCTTACTCCATGTCCTTTTTATGTAACATCAGTCACATTTTATACTCTTATTCTAGATATTTATATTTTTAATCTAAAATATCTAAATTGTATCTAATTTTTATTTTAAAATATCAATAATTTTCATCCCTTTTTTTATATGAACAATAATTTTAGGATACTGAAAAACTTTCCATCTATTTTTAAAAAAAATAATATTAAGATTAAATATTCATCAATGAGAAAAGAATGTTAAAAATAAGGAAAGCTATCAAAATGTAACAGCAGTGACTATGGAATTCGCCATTTTTCTAACCTGTTGGTTTAATCAGATATTTATTTGAATTTCTTATTCTACTTCAGATTATCTTATTTATAAAACATGTTAATATATGTTAGCACCTTGCGTAGTAAATTAATAATAGATGGCGCTGTTAAAATGCATACACATTTTTACTTCTATTTTTTTTAAAAATACAGTTAATAAATACATTGTGAAGTATGGTGCCTATGTTTTTTTTGTGTGTGTGTCATGCTTTGCTTGTGTGTACAACAGGGTTTAAGCTGAGTCTAAAAATTCATTAGCAAAAAAGCTAAAATCTGAAAAAAAGTTTTAGCAAAATGCTAAAATGCCATTAGGCTTATAAAATTACTTTATATCAAACAAGTACTGTAAGTTATCTGACAAAGAATAGCTTAATGTACAAGAATATCAAAAAGAATACCTATAACAAAAAAAAAACACATTTATTATTTATCAAAACATTTTGGTTTATAATTAACAATCTTCCTTTCTTTCATGTTTGCCCATTTTACAAATTCTTGAAAGTTAAATGCACTTTTGGGGCCCTCAATATTAATCATTAACAAATTGTTTACATGGTTGATTAACAACCTGTTTCGAATATTAGTTTTAATCAAATTAAGGCAGCTAAAGCCCCTTTCACAGTCAACAGTGTGCATTGGTATTGTTGCACAATACTCTATAACACGTTTCACGATTGATCACGTTTTTTTCGTGAACGCTAGCGTCATGGTTCTTCTTGCGAAAGATATTTAGATTTTTTCTCCTTCTTGTTTGATCAAGTTTTTTTCATGGATGTTAGCGTCATGGTTTTTCGCGGAAGCTTTTTTTTTTAATGGAATTTAGTAAAATCCTTTAGCAAAAATGCGAAAATGCTTTGTTGAATTTTAGCATTTTTGAGGGGTCTTTTCGCATTTTGCGAAAAAAGCTACCGTAGCGGAAACCCTGGTGTACAATAGTTTGGTCCGACATGACCTCAGAGGTGTTTAGTCAGTGACTATGGATTGTGTTTTGTGAATGATCTGCTAGAGGTCAAAGATGTGTCTTTTTTTAAATAAAAAAAAATTGTGATTTCACATGTGTTGCAAAAGGAGTTATAAATTATGGTTTATTAATTAGATTGTGATAAGGTAGTCAGTCGTGTTAGATTTAACAGAATATCGGCTTTAAATGTATTAGATTAGACACTGATTTATTTTCTAATGCTTTTTCTAACGAATTGAAAAATAAATTAAACGATTCTGACTTAGCCGACACTGAAATTGTTAAAGCTTAAACACTTTTGATTAAACTTTCCAAACTATCAGAATCTGTTTCTCCATTCACTGCAGTCTGAAATGCATTAGCTAGGTTACCACTAATTTTCGCCAACTCAAACTGTTTCTCTAATTGAGCTAACTTTAATCTTTCTAACTCTTATTTCCTGTTCCGATTCTCTTATAGCTTTTTCTAAGTTTTCTTTTTTTTTTCCTTCTAAAACATATCTAATTATATCACGCACAAACTCAATATTATTTTTAACTACATCACTAGTTTCAATTAAGAGCTTTAAATCCACTTTTTTAGGATTGTCCGGAAATATTAAACCTAATTCCTGCACAATCGTAATCAACTCATCTTTTTTAAAGTTCAATTTAAGTGCAATTTTAATATTAGCTACAACACTTTCAATATAATGCTATCAATTAAACTCCACACCCAAATCCAAAGCAATTGCTAAACAAAATCACTTAACAATGTAACTATTTGGATAACAAAACAAGTTACAAACAACAAAACAAGTTATAAATGGTAATCAAATATTTAGCTTTCTTGCGAGAAGCAAATCATGCATACTTATTAGGTACTCCGGATTAAAAAATTTAAAGTATTTATGAAGAAAAAAACTAGGGTTTTTGATTAAAAAAATAAATTAAAAAAAAAAAATAAGTAAGCTGGGATTTTTCCTTTGAAAAAAATCCTTTTTCTCAAATCATTTTTGTTACAAAACTGTTACACATTGAACCTATTATACTCATTTATTTAAATCAAGTTTTTTAGAAATAGTTTCCAATATGGTTTCGAGCTCAAAATTTTTTCTGTCACTTCCTTCAGTTTTATCGATTTTGAAGGTCAACATAATTTTTGTTATTTAGGTTCCTTAGAATGGCCCCCATCCAAAAAAAAAACAGGATCTCTTCCATGTGCAGTATACCCCTTGTCCTCACTTTCTCACCATATTTTTCCTTTTATAATACTTCACAATCTTCATGGGGTATCATTTTAAGCAAAAGAAAGAATATATTAAAGAAAGAATGATACTTTTGCTTTCTTACTAGTCTTTGCAACCATCCCCCCACATACCCACCCCAGTCTCTCTAAAATACTCTACCCTGGATGCATGGTCTCATTCTAGGCGATAAAAGAACGCCTTTTTGTAAGACTGAAAAATTGTTTCTAGCAGTTATTGCAATACTGAAAATTATGAACTTTTAAAAACTTTAAATAAAAATTAATTACTAAGGGCCCTTATTGTCCAAAATAAAAATAACAGAAGAGATGGATACTAACTCGGATTAAAATAATTTTTTTTATAAAATCTACTCACACTTTTTAGTAGTTTCTATAGCTAAACCTTGTCTTTGAGCAGCATTGATTGCCTGAAGATTAAAAAAACATACTAAGTACACAATATAATAAACATGTCATTAACAAATACAAAGGAGAGATTTCTGTATTGGTACCTATTTTGAAAAATTTACTAAGTTTTGGTAATAACTATGCAGTGACACACAAGAAATTAAAATAAGCATGACAAAATTAAGAAAGGCAAGACTTACACCTAATTTCCGAAAAGCTACCATGAAGAATATTTGGAAAAAAAATAATTACCAGTTCATGAACTGGGCAGTTTCCTTAGGTAATTTCAGTTATGCAAACAGGTATCGATACAGGAATGTCCGCAAGATAAACTTATACAATATTAAAATATAGAAAGGAAAATCTTTATTAAAAAGTGTCGTGTTTTATAAATAAATAAGCATTTTTTATTAAATAGTTAATTATAATAGTAAAATCAGAATAAAATGATCAGCAGTCTTAGAATATTTAAAGTTCAAAGAACTTTATAATTATAATAAAAAAGCAAAACAGTTTCATAATCCAAAAACTTATAAACAGAGAAAACAAGAAGAGAATTTGAAGATTTTAAAAAGCAAAATAATATAGAATAATTCTTCATTTAAAATTAAAAATCTGAAATCACATATATTTACATTCAATTGATTTATCTATTGTGCTTTTTAAATTCAACTTAAAAGTAGAAAATTTGACATTTGCATTTATTTTCAAATGTGCATTTATTTATTTAATTTTTATAATAGTAAAACACAGTTTTAATATTTAACTGCCACTACATTCTTTGCACTAATTAGATTTTAAACTGAATTATGATTAACAAATATGAGTTTAGTTATAACAGTTTCCAACTTGGAGACAAAACTACTATGGATTTTCCACAGTTAAGTCATTTTTCAGTGGTAGTGAACTTAAGCTATTTCTAGAGAGCTTAAGCTTTGAAACTATTTTTTAAAAAATTCATTAGAACTTAAACATTTGTCTACATGATTTCATATATATGTTTAAAAAAATATGTTTAATGGTAGATAAAATTCTTTTAAATCTAATTGATTAATGTATAAAAACATTACCTTTGCTAATACTAGTAAAAAAAAATTCTGAAACTACCGAATATTCACAGTAGTTTCGGAATCTCTGGTTATATACTAAACTTCATACATATTTGATCTGGTTATATATAAACTTCATACATTACCTTTGCTAATACTAGTAAAAAAAAATTCTGAAACTACCGAATATTCACAGTAGTTTCGGAATCTCTGGTTATATACTAAACTTCATACATATTTGTGACGCCCGGTGGCTGAGCTGTAGCGCTACGCGCTGCCGTGCCACAGGTCCCTGGTTCGATCCTCGGGCCGGGTAGGATTGACTCAGCCTTTCATCCTTTCAGTGGGTCGATAAATGAATACCAAGCATGCTTGGGAACTAAACACTGGGTGTTCCGCGTTCGGTTGACCACCTGACCGGAATATCTGCTTCTGCACCCCAGAGCCCAAGGTCAAGAAAACTGAGATGGGCACAGTAGGCCTTGGCCCTCTATGGGCTGTCGCGCCGCTGAGTTTAGAGTTTCATACATATTTGTAGGCCAAATTTCATAATGTAACTGTGATGCTTCAAAATTAGGTAAAAGTACAGTCAAATAATAGTTTAACTCTCTAAATCATTGAATCCCTGGGTAAAATTGTACAAAAATTTCTCTACTGCAGACTTCACTGCTATTGAATAATGTGGAAGGAAACTGGTTTTTTGAAGCAGGAAAAGTTTGCAGCTAAAAGTACGGAAAAAGCCATAACTAACGTTTAAAGGATTAAGCAATCAACAGTCCAAATAAAGTTACTTCAATTAAAAATTTCAGGTGCTTTTGCTCATATTTGTTAATATTAAAGCTTTTTCGACATTCTCACACCCTCATTTACCTAGAAATTAATTAATTTTCTAAAAATTCTATTGATAAGAGTTTTATATTGTTGATGAACTAATGAGATAGTTAAAATATATTGCCACTTTAATTTCATTTATGGAAATAACCATCAGAAGAAAACAATACTTACGTTCTCATTCAATCATCGCGAGAGAATGACATAATCTATAAAGTTAATTTATTGTATAAAAATGTTTAATAAGCATTCTAGTTTCCTCTTATGGGATAGTTTAAGAATATACATTGTTATTTTAATTTATCTAAATACATAAACTTCAAAAGCAAACAATGTTTATTTTCTCATTCCCTCACTGGGGTAAAATTACTTTACTGGTGGATTGGTACTCACAAGGGTCTGTCTAGGTTTTTCGGAGAGGTACCTATTATTTGAAAATTTAGACATAATTTGTGAAAATTAAAAATATTAAAAAATCAACCCAAAAATACGGATTTATCGTTTCTTACGATAGAAAAATAAAATTTTAAGAAAAAGTGTTTTGTGAAGCTACCGTTTTTTCCTAAAGTTGAATTTGTGGAGGTACCGCTAAACGGTAGTAAATTTGGCCTGGACAGACCCCTGACTCATGTTGTTAAAGACTGACAGATACTTAAATGCATACCCTTACTATGTTATAATCTCTTCACTTAAATTTTGATAATTTTTTTTTCTCACTAATTGAAAAAAACTTATTTAAATTATATTAATTTAATTACGAATTATTACGAATGAAACAGTTGTTAGCAGGTTAATGTATCAAAAAATTTTAATTGAACACAAAAACTATTTGTTCTTCAATGTTGTGTTTATTCAATAAAAACATAAATTTAGTAAACATAATCAATAAAAATATAAATTTCATTTGAAACAAAACATAATCAATTAAAACATCAATTTCATTCAAAATAAGATATAATCAATAAAAACATAAATTTGAATAAAAATAAATTTAGGTCTTCTAAAACCAAAAATAGCAGAACATTATTATCATAAGCAATGCATTTCTGCTTCCTTAATATTTATATTCTTGAAAAGCTTTTAGGGCTCCTTGAAGCCAAATAAAATTGGATTCTAGAGGGAATGCCACATAGCCCGGTGCTACACAAAGGCAAACACTGTATGTCTTTAGACATTCTTCAAAATAGAAATAATTGATGAATTTTGATTTTAAGAGAACTAAATGGTATTGTAGCATAGTGATACAGGATAATCATTTAAACTTGATTTTAAACTATTCTACTTCTTACATAACATTAAACACAACATCAATTTACTTACACATTAATAGAAGAAGTTTAATTACTCTGTGTAAACTCCATGTAAAATATTAATGGAAAAACCTAATTGTTAGAACTACCTTTTACGCAAAATATTTGCATCATATTTGATGCTGCATTTAACACTGATTTAGATAAAATTCAAAAACATCGCAGTATAAGGCGTAAAATTAGTTTTAGAATGCAATCGTGCAAAGTGAATGGCATACATAGTTAATATAAAAAATACATAATTAGTTAGGATAAGAATATGCAAATTGCATTAATTTGATGTTTTTAGTGTTTACAATATGCAACATAAAATAAACATGTTTCGTCATTCAAGTGCACAATGTTGACAGCAAACAAACCTGTTGAGATCGAAGTTGACTGGCTTTGGGTGCCTTTTTGCGCAAATATGTCACAGTATCCCAGTCAGTTTCATCACCCATGTCGTTGGATATCTATTTATCTCGTAAAATAATACACAAATTTACTACCTTCTGAAAATAAGCATACACTTTTAAGAATTTTGTTATGATGATTGGAAATTCGGAGAGTTACGGTTATGATTAAATCAAGTTCAGATTTGATCTCACTAAGTTAAAAACAAGAGTCAGAATTCTAAACATAGACAATAAATGTAAACTAATAATTAGCTATCTTTCAATAAATAGTATTTAAAAAATCAATTGAAATTATTGATGGTTAAATTTTTTTTTTAAATATTTATCTTCAAGATATATGGCGGATAGAAATAGACAGCTGGTAGCCATGAATGTATTTTTCAGATACCCTTTTCTTTTCTAATGCTCATAGAGGAATCTAATGCCTGAAAATAAAAAGGTTCAAAAGAATTTTTTTAAAAATAAAACAAACTAAAAAGAGAAGAAAATAATTAATAATGTGGTTTGGCATTTTCTTGAGTAAAATAGTGAATATCGTGCAAACATCATAACTTTTTAATTAATTATGTCGGTGTATGTATAGTTCGCAAAATAAAAAGCGGATCACCCTGAATAACTTTTGCTCTAACGTTCGAATGTTCACAATCTTAATCTTCTCATGCTAAATTATTCAAAAAGGCGCCCTCAAACATGCTAATTAATTAGAACTGACAATATTAAGTTACGAAATCAGACACAAAAACGTACTTTCTCTGAATAAATATACATCTCTATCGATAAATATACATCTCTACTGATTTGGATTTCTGAATCCGCAATAAAGGAAATATGGTCCCCCTCTATATTATGTCAGCAGAGCAGGAAAAAATTTGGACCCCTTAATATTAATTTAATTTTTTACTTATTTAGCCTTTTGTCAAGAACTTTTTAAACAGATTGAAAACATTTTGCACATAACTACAAAATTCATTTACCCAAAGATAATTCCATGCAAAATATAACTTTTAGTAGATATTTATTATTTTCTGTACTTAACAGTAGTCAAAAAATTTATAAATTGCAAGGTAAAAAAGTTTTTATAATGTTATATGCGAAATCGGTCAAATAGATTCTGAGAAATCGATTTTTAAAATTACGACATGTTTAAATTTTAATTTCTCTAGAACAGTGTTTCCCAAAGTGTAGTACGCGTACCCCCAGGGGAACGGAAACAGTTTGGCGGGGGTACGCGTTCGTATGCGAAATATCTTACAGCAAACGATAATTTCACAAAATTTTATTTAAAAACAAAGCTAGCCATGAAAATTTACGATCACCTATTTTTCTATTGGGGTTTTTTTCCCCAGAGTTAACAGTAAATAATTAGTGGTGTCAACAGCCAGTTGTGATTTAACACTTTTGTGCATATTTTTTTTTAGTAAGAAATACATTCAGTTTTTTATTAGTGACACGCAGCGTTACGAAAAATTTCGAAAGGGTATACAAAGTCATACGTTTGAGAAACACTGCTCTAGAACTATTCGACCGATTTTGTTCAAATTTTGTATTTTGCCATGGAAAATTATATTCTTTAAAAATGATGTAAAAAATTGTATACCTTACATTAAAAAATGTTTTCGACCATTTCTACATGATATAATAAATATTTAATAAAATTTATATTTTTCTTGGAATAACGATGAACGAATGGATAATTTTGAATAAAAGGACTTTATAGTTGTGTGTAAAAAAATTTCAATTCGCTTAAAAAGTAATCAAGATATGTGGAAATACACAAAAATAAAATTAACATTAAGGGGTTCAAACTTTGGATTGTTTTACTGAGAAACTATGTGGGCATATTTTGTTTTGGGTGTCAGAAATTCAAATCCGTCGGAAAAAAAAGTAATGTTTTATTCAGAGAAAGTATGATCTTGTGTCTGATTTAGTAACTTAAAATATCGTCAGTACTAATTAATTAGCTTATTTAAGAATACCCTCTTGAATCATTAAGAATGAACGTTAAATTTCTATTATGTACTAGATCAAAAGTTAATCAGAATGGCCCGTTTTTTATTTTGCTCACTGTGAAACATATTGTCGTTTAAAAAGATTAAAATTAGAAAATATTTGAAGTGAATGAAAAAAAAGAAAGAAAAGACTATGGATACATGTACAGAGGTAGCAGTAATCACTGCCCTTAATATATTTTTGTAATTCTTGTCAAAAATGAAATCAAACTTATATACTTACATAAGCTAAAAAAAGTTATTTAATTAAAAAAAATCACTTTTGAGAAAGGCTGGATAAAAACGTCGAAATAAATCTGATTTAATGGATAAAACTTCAAAGTGTTTCTTATACTCTCCTTTTATCTGTCCCGAATTTTCACCGACAATCAAACAGGTTTCGATTTTTTTTAACTCATCTTTCTAAATAGTGATTTATTAGATTTTAATAGCGAATTTTTGTTTCCCACTCTTAAGTATCAGTCCTTGGCAAAAAAAAAAAAAAAAATTATAATTGATGAATAAAACAATTAACATAATTTTGACTATATTTTTGAGAAGTAATCTAAATATAAGTAAAATTTTCTAAATTTGTACTATTGTATACGTAGCTTATAGGATTTTATCTTTTTCCAGTTATCCCTTCCTAATTTCTACATCTGTTGCAAAACACCGTATTTCAGTAACGGTATTTAGTTCTTCTTTCATCCTTTATGAAGAACTGCGTTCCAGGAGAAAAAAAATTTAGCACTACAACACTGATTATAACTTATAATATTTTCAGTTAGGCATAACTCTTTCATTCTCTGTAGGTTACAATGAGCCAAGCTAATGAAATTGGCTGAGAAGCAACCATAATTATAATGAACAGCCCCCCCCCCCCCAAAAAAAAAAATTACGCTTGAAATTTGAAAACCTATTCCAAGAACGATGTGCGCATTCCAAGATTATATCGTTTTTTTTTTTAATCCCAGTTAACTATCGTTATTATTAGTTAATGACTTTTGTGTAAATTTAAAATATTGTAGATTGCTATTTGTTTGTGAAAATGAGGAAATTTATTAAGAAAACAAGTATTTAACAAATGCTTAAAATCAATCAGCGAATTTTCTGTTTTTTACCAGAAAAAAAAAGACAGTAACTTGGTTATTTATAATCCTTGGTTTTATGTTAAAACGTGTGTTAAGGTGTCAATGTTTGGCAAGACTTGAAAATGGGAGCCTGTTTTTTAGTGCTTAAAACATGTCGACTGTTATTTTCCTATTTATATATTTTTTGAAGCGAATGAAGTTTTTAATCAGGTAACATTGGTTTAATGGTTAGAAATAATCATTAGTTAAGTATAGATTTTAAGGGCAGTTGAGCATTTTTTTTTCGTTTTTGCATGTTTGACTATTTTGCTTGTTCGGGATATTTATTTACATTTTAAGGACAGTTTTTTTAATAAGTTTTTGCTGCAGCTTTTCTTAAAATTTCGTTTTTTCTAGAAGTGCTAGCTTACTTCTACATTTTTCACCACACATTTTACACAAAAAGTATTGTCATAAAAAAAAAAATTTAGATTTCTTTTTCTCTTAAAAAGTTAATTGATTAATAAATATATTTGTCATTAATTATGTTAATAACAAATAATGCATTTGTTGGGACATGATAAATTAAACTGTTTTAATTTAAAATAATAATTTAGAGACTTATATATATGTACAGTCTCTCTAGTCCTCCAAAAGTAACATCTGTGCAAATAGAAATAAGCATGATGATATTAATATTGAATTAAAATCATTTAATGAATACAATTACATATTCTGAAATGAATACTTAAAATTTTTTTATTTAGTGAACGAATTTATACTGAAATGAAATAAACATTCATTGCCAAAAAATAGTCAGGCAATATTTTCTGCAAAAGACTAAATTGATGAATAAAATATATATAAGATATAAACAATAATCTTGCAGTAATGTGCTATAATTGAAAAAAAAAAAAATATGACGATTTAAATCTGTCAAGTATTAGTTACATGTGGGTAAAATAGAAACTAGCATTATTTTCATTAAGTTGAAATTATTTAATGAATAATCAATTCTAATAAATACACGTTTTTCAAGATATTAATGATGAAATAACAATTATTAAAATAAAATATATCTTTTCATGGCTTATTATGATAAGCGCGCCTGGTGATAAGAACAAAGGGAAAGGAAGAAACGCCTCAAAATTTCCAGAAATTTCACCCCTCCCTTTCTTATTTTTCCATTCTCTTTTTCCCGCTCGATGAACATTTCCTCTCTTTTCCAGTATCTTCGACGTAATTTCCGTCTCTCAAACTCTCTTGATCCATCTGGAAACTCGTAGAATATTCTAGATGTTTCCGGCGGAACGCACACATATCCTTAAGCGTGACGTTTAAACAAATATAGTTCAAATAAAATTAATATCGTATAATAAAATTTGAGGCAGAATATCGCTGTTAAAGAGCAAAATATAATACTCAAAACATTTTAAATGATGCAAAGAGTTTTTCATTCCACAAAATTTTTTAATTTCACATGTGTGGAATAAACGCGGAATTGTACAAAATACTATAAAACTCCTGAGGTGCCGGTTCCCCGGCAGATTATTGAAATCTTTCACTTGTGTTCAAAAGTGAATAGGTTGTTCTTTCTTGCTCTCTTTATTACATTGTGATTTATTCACTATTTCAAGGTATATATTATTTCATATAAAGTAAATAATTTATTAAAATATGTATTCTATTTATTAATAATTTTATTTATCTCATAATGAAATATTTTTCTTATTATAGATGCCTGAAGAAGACGTGAAAATGCAGGGTGACTATGACGATGCTGAAACTTTCGCCTTTCAGGCCGAGATTGCTCAGTTAATGAGTTTAATCATCAACACCTTCTACTCCAATAAAGAAATTTTCTTGAGAGAATTGATCTCTAATTCTTCTGATGTAAGTAGATTATTATTTAATGCCTAGATAATGTAATATGATTGATTAGAAAATACTCTAATTATCCTTGATCCTAATTCTTGAAAATATTAATTTGTTAAAGTGTCTAAAAATGAAATTTTTTTTTAACTGCTTTTCTGCACATTCATTAATCTTACGTTATCTGTAAGTCATACATCTTAACCTACCATTCACTGTTGGTGATATCACAAACTTAGATCCTGTCTAAAAATAATGAATCTTTAATATTAAACAAGTAAAAATTTATCAATGGATTCATAATCTGTTTATTCTGAGTTCACCTTATCAACTACTTAGTATTTTCCTGCTAATAATTTTTAATTACATTTCTAATCCTGAATTTTTTCCATCATAGCCATGATGAAATTATCCAGAATATAATGGCATAGTGCTACTGAAGCAAAAAGCTATGTAATTGTAATTTATAGGAATTGGAAAATTATGAGGAAAAATAATTTAAAATTGACATGATAAATTATTTCAATTTAGTTCAACTTTTGAATTTGGTTCTTAATATATTTCTTGCTTGTACAATTTTTAAATATGTTAATTGACTTATTTTCATATTTTTCATCCTTAATTTATATTCTGACTCCAAACTGTAGTGAAATTCTTTTGTATTAATTAACCCTACATTAAATCACATAACTTATCATTAATGAAGTTTCGTTTACCTATATTGTAAGCATAAATAATGAGTAATATAAATTAACTTTATTCAACATTACTAAACAATCTGTTAGTTTAAACGTAATTTTAGCTCCCAATTTGAAAATTGTATTAATTTTCAATAGTAACTAAGCTATTTTCAATTTTAACCTAGTAGTCACTGAAACTGAATCTGTTGATGCTGTAGAAAATTTATTTGTATCTATATTTTGAATTTTTTGTTATTACAACCTGAAACTTCACCAAAGATTAAATTTCTACAAAGTTACATAACATTAAACTTTCAAAATCCGTTACCTCTCTGAATTTTTTTTTTTATGTATTCAAGTTAATTTTTTAAAAATGCATTTAATATTCTAAGTATCAAGTGAAGTTAATTAATCTTTACCTTTTACAGGCTCTTGACAAAATCCGATATGAAAGTTTAACTGAACCAAGCAAATTAGACAGCTGCAAAGATTTGTACATTAAGATTATTCCAAACAAGGAAGACAAAACCTTGACCATCATTGATACTGGAATTGGTATGACCAAAGCAGATCTTGTCAACAACTTAGGTACGATTGCAAAATCTGGCACCAAGGCTTTCATGGAGGCTTTGCAGGCTGGTGCTGATATTTCTATGATTGGTCAATTTGGTGTGGGTTTCTACTCTGCTTACTTGATTGCTGATAAAGTGACTGTAACATCCAAACACAATGATGATGAACAATACACTTGGGAATCTTCTGCTGGTGGATCATTCATTGTCAGGCCCGATCATGGTAAGTACACGTTATGTTTAATTTCATAAGTTATTTATTTATAAACCCACTTGTTTAAATAAGTTATTGATTTTTTTTGTGTGATAATGAAGTTAAAATTCTTATCTAACAAGTAATTGGCCCTTTGCTGATTGTTTTGGTTTGCCAACTATTCAGCTATGTATTTGAAAAATTTTAGTAGGGGCAAATTTAAATATAATTAATGAATAGTACTCTATTCCTTAGAGAACTTTTAATTTGTTGAATTTTTATTCATTTGCCACTTTTTCCTGTATGGCTAAACTGGTAACAACGGAAAATAATTCTCAATATTTAAGTTAATTTCCGAACTAAGACTAGTTAATGTTTCTCTTCAGTTTTTATTATGAATGGCAATAAGAGAAAGTCAATTGAGATTTTTAGCTTTAGATCTTTCATTTAAGGATAAAGAACGCTTTGTTTTGATTTTTATTCTTTTTCAAAAATAAAACTAGGTCTAAACTTAGTGTTTGGCACCTTGGCGATTATAGTTGGCATGACAGAGCATGATGCAGAAATATCGCTGCTACATTTACTTTGTAAAAGTTTGGGATAGACAATATATATTAAAATATATGTATTTATGTTTGTGTGTTAGTAGTTTATCTCAATTATTTTAATATCCAACCCATATTTTAAAATAAGTTTTTTTTTTTTTTCATTTACCCCATACCAACTACAGCTAAGTTTTAATTATTTTTCAATGGTGACTTAACTTATTTATACATAGAAGTATTAATGATTTTTAAAAAAAAAAATTTGCTATTCCCCCTATATTTGTGGCGGAGTATTTGGCCGAATCACTTTGTTACATCCCTAATTCTTATTGAATTAAAATGATAAATAAGTGTCAAATAATTAGTTGGCTATTGCTTTTTTTGTTGGCTATTGCTTTTTTTTAATATTTTGTAAATTTAAGAACAGATCTGTCAGTAATGGAATTAATAGTCTTAAGAAAGCATATTTATTTAATCTATTTTTATGATCTTTATTAAAGAGCTAAATTTAAATTTTTGTGAGATTGCTGTTGTGTTTCAGTAAAATTAAGTACTCAAGTAATTTGAAATTACTTCTGTAAAAATAATTTCATACTGAAAGTACTATTGATATGCCTGATAAATCTTATTAAATTTTATTAGAAGGGTGGATAGAATAATTGCTTTGTAAAAAGAAATTTAATCTGTTGATTATTACACCTGCTTTAAAATTTACAAAACTACTGTTCTGCCTAAATTAATTTAGAATAAATTAAATTGTATTCTGATTTAATTAATAATTTAACTGTTCCAATTTTCAGTGATAAGTTAAATATTGTTTTTGTTAGAAATTAAGTACAGTAATTTGTCGGCTTTTATTCTTATTTAATAGAGAAGTTTCTTTCATCCTGCTGTAACTTAGTTTTAAATGGTTTTGAAATAGTAAGAACTTTTGAGGCTTAATTCTGCAAATAACTTACGCATATTTTATTTTAGGTGAACCTATGGGTCGAGGAACCAAAATTGTTCTTCATTTGAAAGATGACCAGACAGAATACGTTGAGGAACGTCGTGTCAAAGATGTAATCAAGAAGCACAGCCAGTTCATTGGTTATCCCATTAAACTTGTAGTTGAAAAAGAACGAGAAAAGGAAGTATCCGATGATGAAGCAGAGGATGAAAAAGAAGAGGAAGCCAAAGAAGATGAAGACAAACCCAAAGTAGAAGATGTGGGTGAAGATGAGGATGCTGATAAGGAAAAGACAGACAAAAAGAAAAAGAAGAAAATCAAGGAAAAATACACTGAAGATGAAGAGTTGAACAAAACTAAGCCTATCTGGATGAGAAACCCAGATGATATCAGTCAAGAAGAGTATGGTGAATTCTACAAATCATTGACCAATGATTGGGAAGATCATCTTGCTGTTAAGCATTTCTCAGTAGAAGGTCAACTCGAGTTCCGAGCTCTTCTCTTTGTTCCTAAACGTGCACCTTTCGACTTGTTCGAAAACAGGAAACAGAAGAACAACATCAAATTGTATGTTAGAAGGGTATTTATTATGGACAATTGTGAAGATTTGATTCCAGACTACCTTAACTTTGTCAAGGGTGTCGTTGACTCTGAAGATCTTCCTCTTAACATTTCCAGAGAAATGTTGCAACAAAATAAAATCTTGAAGGTGATCAGGAAAAATTTAGTCAAAAAATGCCTTGAACTTTTTGATGAAGTTGCAGAAGACAAGGACATGTACAAGAAATTCTACGAGCAATTTAGCAAGAACTTGAAATTGGGCATCCATGAAGATTCAACCAACAGAAAGAAACTTGCAGAATTCTTGAGGTATTACACTTCTCTGTCTGGTGATGAGACCTGCTCTTTGAAGGACTACGTATCCAGAATGAAGGAAAATCAGAAGAGTATCTACTTCATCACAGGTGAAAGCAAAGACCAAGTAGCCAACTCTTCGTTTGTAGAACGAGTCAGGAAACGTGGATTTGAAGTGATCTACATGACTGAGCCCATTGATGAGTATTGTGTACAACAGCTTAAGGAATATGATGGCAAGACTCTGGTGTCTGTCACTAAGGAAGGTCTTGAATTGCCTGAAGATGAAGAGGAAAAGAAGAAACGTGAAGAAGATAAAGCTAAATTTGAAAACCTCTGCAAGATCATCAAGGACATCTTAGACAAGAGGGTTGAAAAGGTAAATACCTTAACTCTTAAAGTAGTTAAGTGACTTTTTTTGTTCTTTCTTCAGATTTCTAAAAGTTTTTGTTACTTCAGGTTGTAGTTTCTAACCGTCTTGTAACATCACCTTGCTGTATTGTAACCAGCCAGTATGGATGGAGTGCAAATATGGAAAGGATTATGAAAGCTCAAGCATTGAGAGATTCTAGCACAATGGGCTATATGGCAGCTAAGAAACATCTTGAAATCAATCCTGATCATCCCATCATTGAAAACTTGAGGCAGAAGGCTGAAGTTGATAAGAATGACAAATCAGTCAAGGTATTTTTAGTGTTAATTTTTCTTTTAGTTACCTAATTAAGATTTTTGTAGGCAATGGGTGCTATTTCTATCATTTAACTTTTAAGTGTGTTCTTAATATCCAGTATTAGTAGTTAGACTAGACATTTTATTAGATTTTTGGAGCTAATAATGCAACACAAATGTTTAGTTACGTAAATATTTTTATTCATTGTAAACTAATGTACCATGGCCTATTTATATTAAGAGTAGTAAATCTGTTGATTCAATTTAGTTATCCGTTTGTTATATATTCTTTTGAACCTTAGATGTTGATAAGATCTCTACTGTAGTTAGTGTAAAGTGTCAACTAATATTAAATAGAAAATTAATTGAAACTTTAGTTCAGTTAGGAAATATTAATACTTATTATAAATTCAGTAATCCAGGACATTAACCAGGTGCGTAGAGTTTTTAAAAAGAGCTTAATTTTCCTGTTTTCAAAATGAGATTTTTCCTTTTATGTTTTTCACTTCAAATTTTGCAAAAAGAAACGGTTCACATTGTTTCATGCAACGTTTTCACAATTAAACCGCAATCTAATTTTTTGGAGTATTGTCAGTAAGTAGTGGAATGATTCAAAATTAAATGATTTTTTTACAACTGTCAAAAACAATGCCGAAAGTTTTTTTTACGCAATGGTTTAAAAAAATAAACCATTATTAAAACAATAAAACCAAACATTATTAAAAAAAATAAAACCAATTGTCAAAAACTTAAACTCTGCCTAATTATATTTTTTTAGTGCTTAAAATATTTTGAGTGCTTGAAAAGTGCTATTTTTTGTTTAATAATTTGGCTATACACCCTGATTAAGCTTAGTCAGTTGGGTGTTTTTTATTGTGTGTAAATTTTAAACTGTAATTTCAGTATTGAACCAAAACTTTATTAAGATAAAGGTACCATGTCTCTCATTAAAATTATTATTCTGTTTATATTTTATTTTAATGTTTCTAAATTTTTTTCAGGATCTTGTTATGTTGCTCTTTGAAACTTCCCTATTGTGTTCTGGCTTTGCATTGGAGAATCCTCAATTCCATGCTTCTAGAATTTACAGAATGATCAAGTTGGGTTTGGGTATTGATGAAGAGGAAGTGAGTGTTGGTGATGCTGTAGTTGAAGAAATGCCAGCTGTTAGTGGTGAAGATGAAGATGCATCCAGGATGGAAGAAGTAGATTAAAGTTTAAAAAAATTATTTATTTAGGATTATACGAACTTTATTTTCTAATTAAATTTGTAAATAAAAGAAGCAAGAATGTTCATTCCACAAGCGGAGGGCTGATTGCATCATGTCATTCCATTTGTTAAATATTCACTATTGAATAAATTTTCAGTTGCTATTAATATTTTGTTCTTTTTAATATATATGTTGTACAGTACACTATTGTTTATGTTTAAATTTGCAAATTTACAGAACGATTTTATTATGGTTAACTAAAGATTTTGTTTTACTGCTGAATAATTGCAAAACTTAAGTGTCTTTGTGAAATGTTTTACACTGAAGTAAGAAAAGTTTATTTTTAACAAAACCACTTTGTTTTAAGATGTAATTAAGAGTACAAATCAATAAGGGTAATGGTTAAAGATGCATATTACATGTAAGTTCATTTAAGTAATTAATAATTTCTAGGTATTTAATAATAATGAGGCAATTTTTTTTTGCCTTGTGGTACACTGGCAACATTAGCCTTTCAGGATGTTTTACACTGCAAAACATCTTAATTATTTGTTGTATAGAAATTGCTAATGTATGAAACCCCTTAAATTAATTTGCTTTTTCTAACATTTTAAATCTAATAAAATATTTTTCTCTGATTTAAGTAGCATTAAACTACAACGATTTATGATGCCTGGATTTTCCAGGGCTTTTATTTGCCTGAAATTAAAAGGCAAAATCTTGCAAATTTTGCTTTTTACAGACACAAGAATTTCTAAAACTTAATTCTATTTCAATGCAGTTTTAAATTTTTAATACTAATTAGCTAGTTAAATATTAAATTATATACAAGATTAATGATCTCTTATATGTAAACAATCTATAAAAGCATGTTATGTGTAACTTACAAATTATATCTTAGCTTGAATTTTCTTATGCAAACTCTATTAAAATATCCTTTTATACAAACACAATTTTTCAGAAATGATGAAAATTTATTGAATTTAATTCAAATTGTTTCAATTAATCAGCCTAAATATTCATACAATATAAAAAATTCTAAAGCTTAGCACCTGTTATAATTTGATTTTTTTTTTTTTTTTTAAATTATTTTAACAAATTATTTAATTTTTTAACAAATTATTATTATTAAATTTATAAAACAGGTATTTTAGAATTAAATTTTATTCCTAGAAAGAAAAGTTGAGTAAAATATATTCCCTTACATAAATGTAAAAAGATGATTTTTTTTTTTTTAATTTGTGGTTACGTGTCTTATTCTCAAATTTTTAAAAGAAAAAAAAAAAACTTGCCAATATTTCCAATTTTCGGACTTCACACATTTATTAAAATTATTGTTTGTTGGTAATCAAAATTACTGTATCAATATCTAGAGACCCTGTGCCCTATAATTTCGACAACCTGTGGTACAAATTTATCACTCCAAAACAATTGTCTATGTAAAAATATAATTGCATTAAATTATCGTTGGCCGGAGTCTTCAATCGATATGGAAAATTGTAAGAAAGATTCAATTCCCCAAGGAGTCGCTTCAATTCAAGTGACCTTAGCGATTTTATGTCGTATGCATAACGTTTGTGAGTCCTGTGGACTATAAAAACATACTACAGAACGCAAAAAATCGAAATGCATAATTTTTCGTGTATAACTAAAATTATAAAGTTAAATTATAAATAAAATTAATGTATAATAATAGTTATATATAATAAAATAATATATTAAATAAAATTAATAAGTTAAATTGAAAATTCTTTTTAAAAAATACATATATTAAGCATTAGTGAGATTATTTTCTTATTTTTTAAAAATTATTTCTGAGACGTTTTAAATTTTATTAACTATAGAAGTGTTAGATATATTTTTTAATGTTACAAAAACAATAATAAAAGGTTTTAAAAATTTTTTTTTTTACATTGCTATAATTTTCTCGATCAAATATATAAGTCAGGGATGAGATTTTTCCGCTTTTTAGCTGATTTCCGTTTTTTTCACTTTTATCTCTTGAATTTCAGCTTTTTTATCAAATTCAGATTTTTCTAAAAATTTCACTTTTTTTTTATAAGTATTCCGCTTTTTCAGAAAACTCATCCATTTTCAAAGAGAAACACAAAATTCAAACTACATAGCTACCAATCCTTTCTCATTTTTACTTATTTTAGCTATTTTCTCCCCTTTTACTCGCAGCAGATAAGATTTTCCGAATTTTTTACCCGCCCTCCAAATAGATCCGATTTTTGTAGTTCAAACGACGCTGTTTCTGACAAGCCATTTAGAGGTCCCAAGCCTGGAGTCTGCCAATATCTCGATTCTTATTCACACGATTTTAATATCAAACATAGCTTTTCATATTTGCGTGTTGAGATTCTTATTCACGCGATTTGAATATTGTACGTCGTGCTTCGTATTTACGCCTTTTTAAAAACCTATGAAGCGATTCGTATTCCCGCAAGTTTAAAATTCAATGTCTTGATTTGCTCATGCTGTTTATAA